TAACACAGCCTTCATCTTGCCTAATAGGGAAAGGATTTAAACCAAACTCTAATATCAGTTTGTATGCCATCCCTTCCTTATTGTTAACATAGCTCTCAGACTCCACTCCCCAAAGGTGTTCTGTGTCTGTTTTCTCCCCAAGTAAGCTTTCTCTTTTTACATGAAAAGGAAAGATAAAAGAGGGAAAGGAGGCAGAGAATAAAACGGGTCTCATCTAGTAGCATGATAAGGGAACTCATTTTTTTAAGAAATCGCTTTTTAGCAGAGTTCTGCTAGAAGTGAACAAATGTCTGGTGTAAGAACATTCCGGGGTGAGTAAGTAACAAGTTCAAAAGGCAAAGTGGGTGCACAGTTCAGGAAACTTCAGAAACATTAAGGAGCTAAAGGTGCCCAGAGCAAAGCGAGATAAGGGGGAGAGAGAATGACAGAAGATGATGGCAGAGTTGCAGCCAGGTACCAGGTAGAGAAGGAAATGTAAACTATTATATGAACACTTATTCTAATGATGATGGGGGTCTTCTGAAGAGTTCTAAACTAAAGAATAATACCATTTTAACGTATTCTAGAAAATGTAGCTTGTCAGCAAGTCATTTATAGAAAACAGTAAAACACGCATCATCTTTGCCCAGTCCTTCTTCAAGTCAGACCCAGGATAAAGGCATCTGTGCGGGTAGTGTATTTGGGAAATGATCCAGGAAGCAGAAAGGAAGTTCCAGAAAAGTAGAACAAGTAAGAAAGGAAAACTAATATGAGGATAAATGTTTGCCACTATTACAAGTAACTGGTGCTCCATCCCAGTGGGACCATCTATGGAATCTTAAACGGTGTCTCAAAGAATGTCTGCCTGAGAGATAGAAGAGGAAAATGTAACCTTGGGTTTTTACCGGCACTCCACAGTGGCCAAAGGGGAACTGACATGAGATTAACTCCTCGGCACTTGTGGGTCGTGCATGTCTTAGTGCTGAGTGGGACTAAGCAGGCTCTGGCATCATGAGTCAGAGAAGTCCCTGGACGGGAAAGGGAAATGGTTCCACACAGACTAGGGAAAATGCAGTAAGGTGGTACTACGTGCAGTTGCTGGAGATCATTTCAGAACTGATTACTTAAATAATGACAGAACATAAGGCCCAGAAGGTGTGCACTACTTCATAGGAAATATAGGCTGTGGGTCACCAGATGAAATGTCTTCTGTCTGGATCCTCTTCTTCAAGAGAACATTTTTTCCATCTCTTTGGTTAATCTTTTTATTTCAATTACAATTTAACAAAGGCTTTTTTGCTTCCTCTCTTTAAAGAACCTCTAATAAGAGAGGCCGGGTGACATTGCATACCCTAAGTTATACTGAAGCCACCATGAGATATTTTGAAATAGAAATGTTTCTCCCTTTAAAGTCCTACTTTGGTATTATTTATTTTTAATGCAGGGTGGATTGAATGGCTCTGAAACTGGTTGAACCATCAGTTTTTTGTTTTGTTTTTTCAGTTTCAAGTCACTGATCTACAAAAACAATTGGACTGCATAGTTGCTAATGTTATATTAAAAATTCTTAACTTTATAACTTTAGAGTTGCATGCTGTTTTCCTGAAAGTGAGGATTCTATCTTGACTCCTTTTAGTATATGTACAATGTCATGGGTCTGGGTGACCTGACTAGCTAAACAGCTATTCCCTTTCCCTTCACTTTCTGCCAGCCACTCAGCGAGGCATTACAGAAATTGTGTACAGAGTCGAACAAAACGAATTTTCTTGACGGGGGGGAGGGGGGGGAATGCAGTTGACATATATGAGGAGCCACGCTCCTTCTTCATTTTATTCGAATGTGGGATGGCTGTGATGAATATGTATTATTGGACTTTATAATGTCAGTTAATGCCTCTTCCAATATTATCCACAATGAGGAAGGACAGGGGCCATGAACATCGGTGTATGTCAGTCTAGCAAGAGCTGATTTTGTTAACACATACTTTATAAATGTGTAATCAGTGACAATATATATAACTCCTTTGCTTTTTGATACACATGCAATAACCAGCTCTTCTATTTTCTACTAACGTTTTCTAAAATACAGCCCTGACTACTTACTGCAGTTCACATCAACTTGAAAGTTCTAGCTCAAACATGTTTCTTGCTGTGTAAGATATTGCAACCTAAGCTTCCATGAGGCTGTGTTTCTTTTAATATCTTAGAGGGAGAGAGGGAGAGGGAGCAAGGGTGTCAAAGTGTTAACAATGATTTTATTTAAGTGAAAGTCGTATAAGAGTTTATTGTCATAATCTTGTAATATTTCTATACTTCTGAACAATTTTTTTAATGTGAAGTATAATTTTAAATTTCTCTGAAAAATAAATTTCAATGTGGAATAAAAAAAAATAGAGAAGACCTATGGAGTAAAAGAAATTAAGAAACTTCAGGTGATGGTAATGTACTGCACTCATTTGAATTCTGTTTTGAACAAACCAGTTTAAAATATTAGATAGTTGTATTTCCTTGAACAAGTCTCTGAGTTTTTTATGATAGTAGGAAATGATTGACATTTCTCTATTGTTTTTGTTTGTTTAGGTATGGTATTGCTTTATTGGTTTTGATGCTGTTTTTAAAATCTCCTGTTATAGAGATACATGCTGAAAGATTTACAGATAACTTCAAATTTTTCTTTAAATTATCAGTGGCCGAGGAGAAGGTGTGAAATAGGCTAGAATAAGATAAAATGAGATTGGCCTAGAGTTGATAAATGTTGAAACTGACTGGTTATTACACTGTTCTCTCTACTTTGTTATGTGCTTACAAGTTAAAATGGAAGGAAATGTTATGGGCCAGATTATCCATTTCAACCCTGTAAAATTAGGAGATGTCTAGAATAAACATCTCTATAATTTTAAAGAGGAATAAATGAGTTAATACAGCCAAACTCTTACGCAGAGACTGACCCTAAATAAGCGCTGAATAAATGTTAGTTATTATTTTCAGATTTGTTTTTCTCTTCAAATCTAGGCTGAGACTAATATTTTTGAAGAACATACTTTATCTAACAATGTCAATTTGCTTTATTCAAAATTGCCCATTTTTGTAAAAAGAATAAATAGAAAACAATTATTGCTTCTCTGGGGGAATATCAATCTTAGGAAGAAAAATGATCTTACACCATAATAAGCAATAACCAAATATTTAAAGAGAGAAAATAGCTTAAACTATAATTAATGGGGAAAATCAATTAGTTTGTAAAGAAACTATTCAAGAATATTGTTTGGAGAAATAATTCAGCTTTGAACCAAAAATTCATGCCATGGATACTCATATTGATTGGAATTTTATCTCTGCTTTGCACATTTTAGCCATGAAATCATAGTTCTTAATTTTTGTTTTATTTAAATAGGCTAATCCACAAAACAATATTTTGAAGAGTTTATAAAATGTAGTAAGCAGTTTATATGTGACTCATTTTCATATTTTAAGTTATCATTTTTAACATATTGGAAGTCACACACAAAAAAGAGAGAATATTCCACAAATCTGTCAAGAAATGGTAAACTAATTCTTGAAATTGATGGAATCAAGTAACAATTAGAGGTATTTTACATTATCATTTCTTGCTATACAGTTGATAAAACTAATAAAATATGACAATAGATCATCTTTAAAGTGAGAAAGTAGGCAATGTACTTATAGATTATGAAAAATGTATATATCCATTACTAAAAGGTTTACTACAAGGTATATAAACAAATTATGTTGAACATTATGATGTGGGATGTATACATAAACATATAGTACAATAATATAATGTAAGTATTTTCAATCATTGAATTACAGTTAGTAAACCACTTTTAAATTTTGTATCAGTCATTTAAACCTTCAAACTATGAGTCATTTCTCGTCTCTATCTTTGGTAAAAGCACAATTGTTACTATAGAGAGGACCGTGTCATTTAATCTCCACATCTCCACCCCCGAGAGAATGTTTTATAGTAGCATATAAGAGGCTTGGATATGTAGTTATTTTGGATTTTTTAAATTTTGAGTATGAGAGAATTTGTAAATTAGAAAGGTAACATATAATGGTATATAAACATAATAATATATTCATGGTAAGGATTGAAGTTTAGGTCTTCTTATCAGCACTTCAGTGAAAGACTTTGACAGTGTTTCTACATGTAAAATGTATTCATGTCTGGCAATGGTAACATTTAAGGAGGCATGAAATAACAAGTAAATTTAGATTTAAGAAAAACTAAAAGCCACAAACATGTTGCTATTTTCTGCTTTGTAAATGAAAGCTAATGATAACTAACTACATTTTTTCATCTTTTGGGGGGCTTTATTATATAGCCATCTTTATTTATGATGAAAGCAATCTGCTTATACAGTTTAATCATTTTCTGTTTAGGTAAAGAACTGGCAGAAAAGAATCTTACTTTTTGAAGACTAGAGACTATTTGAAAGTTTAACCTAAATTGGTATGAGTCCAGATGAAAACATTAGTCAAATGAAATCTAGTTGTGATTACTATGTTACTATATAAATATCTAAGGAACAAACCAGCAAACACAAATACCAAATTTGATTATTGGTGTATCCATATGGACTTTGTCCAAACAGACACATTTTAGATTTGTTAAGAATTTAGTTAGATGTTTTATGTTAACTAAGCCATTGCCAGAAACTGACATTTGAATTAGCACAGCTATATAATCTTTGTTTTCTGTGTTATCGTAGCATAGCAACTTGTTCAAGCAAGGGCTTCTGTATCTTTCTATGTATTTCTTCTTCTTCTTGATATTTCTTCTATTCTTTTCATCACTTATTTTTGCTGCTTCTGTTATTCTTTTATTTTTGTTAACTCATAATTTCTTCTAATTTGGATTGTTGGTATTTACTTTATTGATCTGGTTGTCTATTAAATTCTGTTTCTTACTGTAATTATTGTAATAGTTAACAGCCATCAGGGGGAAAAAAAACTCAGGGGAGAACTAATTGCTTCCTTCTTTGAAATTTTATTTTTAAGGATTATGCTGAGAAGGAGAACACCATAGCAAAAGCTCTAGAAGATCTGAAGGCCAATTTTTACTGTGAACTCTGTGACAAGCAGTATTATAAGCATCAGGAGTTTGACAATCATATTAATTCATATGATCATGCTCACAAACAGGTAAGTAAGAAATATCCAAAAATGTATATTTCTGAACTTTTGTAATAATTTAAATTGTATAGACTATATGAATAAGATATATTTTCTTATATAAATTTTAGAGATATTCTGAGATTATGACTTGATGACATAGCAAAATACACTTTTTGTTTTTATTCTTTAAAGCACCAAATGTGAAGTCTGAAATAAAAAATTTATACAAAGAAACACCATTCAGTTGTCTTTCAGTGATTGGCAATATTTTGAAGATTTTACTCTATAGGTTATGATCTGCTCAATGTTCTCAAATTTATAAATTTAAAAAATTTTAATCAACTAAAATGTTTATCAAATATAAACTAATGTATTTATAGTTCTTTACATAAAGCATTTTAACTATTGTAAGTCATGGGTAAAAAAAGTTTTGGGATGGTAAATATGACCAGTATTGTTGGTTAAGTAAAAACTTAATGTGTATATAATTTAGTTTATTTTAATCTTTTTTCATTTCCTTATCAATTGTAAATTCAAGATTAATTTTTTCAATACTCTATAAAAATGAGTTTAAACTAGCAATGATTTCAGAAGTGAAGTAAATAATACAGATTCCATTTTCCTATATACTTGACATTTATCACTACAACTTTTATGTTTGTTAGCACACTGATCTGTCACAGGACTCCAACAGTCTTAGTTATCGCCAACTCATATTGTCCTTTTTAGCCATCACTCACAAATATCACCCATATATCATTTTGATTGGTATTAAGAAAATACACATATTTAACCCATATATTTGCAGTAACTTTCCATTAGAGGTATTTAGCATAAGTAGTAAAGAGAAAAAAATGATCAATTAGTGCTTATGAACTAACTGTATATATTTTCCTTTGCTGTTATTTCTTAAATATTTTTTTGATTTATTTTTGTTACAGATGTTTCTCCTTTTTCTCCCATTGACACCCTCCTCCCAATCCCCCCATCCCCAGCATTGTTGTCTATGTCCATGGTTACACATATATGCGTATAAGTTCTATGGTTTATCTCTTCCCTCCCAACCCTCCCCCTCTTCTGAGGTTTGTCAGTCTGTACCCTACTTCTATGTCTCTGGGTCTATTCTGTTCATCAGCTTATTTTGTTCATTATATTTCACAAATATGTAAGATCATATGATATTTGTCTTTTTCTGATTGGCTTATTTCACTTAGCATAATACTCTCCAGGTCCCTCCATGTCACTTCAAAGGATGAGATCTTGTTACAGCTGCATAGTATTCCTTGCGAATATGTACCATAGCTTTTTTATCCACTCATCTCTTGATGGACACTTGGGCTGTTTCCAGATCTCAGCCATCATAAATAGTGCTGCTATGAACATTGGAGTACATGTATTCTTTCTGATTGGTGTTTCAGGCTTTTTAGGATATATTCCTAGGAGTGGGATCACTGGGTCAAATGACAGTTCAATTTTTAATTTTTTGAAGAAACATTATATTGTTTTCCATAGTGGCTGCACCAGTCTGCGTTCCCACCAGCAGTGTACTAGAGTCCCCTTTTCTCCACACCCTCGCCAGCATTGTTGATTGATGATTTGTTGATGGCAGCCACTCGGGCAGGTGTGAGGTGATACCTCATAGTTGTTTTAATTTGCATCTCTCTGAAGATTAGTGATGTTAAACATTGTTTCATGTGTCTCTTGGTCATTTGTATGTCATGCTTGGAGAGGAGTCTATTTAGGTCCTCTGCCTATTTTGTAACTGGGTTCTTTGTCTTTCTTTTGTTGAGTTGTATGAGTACTCTATATATTTTGGAAATTAACTCCTTATTTGATGTATTGCTGGCAATTATGCTCTTCCACATAAGGGTTCCCTTTCCATTTTTATGCTTGTTTCTTTAGCTATGCAGAAGCTTTTTAGTTTGATGTAATCCCATGTATTATTTTTTTTTTCTTTGTTTCTCTTGCCTTAGGCATTATATCAGTAAAAATTCTACTGCATGTCATGTCAGAAATTTTGTTGCCTACATTTTCTTCTAGGACTTTTATGGATTCACGAGTCACATTTGTCTTTTACCCACTTTGAGTTTGTTCTTGTGTATGGTTTAAATTGGAGGTCTAGCTTAATATTTTTTATTTTTATTTTTTGCATGTAGCTGTCCAATTTTCCCAACACTATTTATTAAAGAGGTTGTCCTTACATTATTGTTTGCCCTTGCCACCTTTGTGAAATAGTAATTGAGCATAATGTTTCAGGTCAATTTCCAGGTATTCTGGCCTGTTCCATTGTTCTATATGCCTGTTCTTGTGCCAGTACCAAGCTGTTTTGACTACAATGGCTTTGTAGTATAACCTGATATTCGGTATTGTAATCCCCCCTACATTATTCTTCTTTTTTAAGATTGTTGTGGCTATTCGGGGTCTTTTTTGATTCCATATACACTTTTGGAGTATTTGTTCTAGTTCTGTGAAGTATGTCGTTGGTATTTTGATGGGGATTGCATTGAATCTACAGATTGCTTTGGGTAGTATGGACATTTTAATGATGTTAATTCTTCCAATCCATGAACAAGGTATATGCTTCCACATTTTTATATCTTCTTCTAGTTCTTTTTTCAATATCCTATAGTTTTCTGCAAATAGGTGCTTTAGTTCTTTGGTTAAGTTTTTTCCAAGGTATCTTAGCTTTCTTTGCTGCAATGATAAATGGGATTGTTTTTTCAGTTTCTCTTTCTGTGAGTTCACCATTGGTGTATAAGAATGCCATCAATTTCTTGACTTTAATTTTGTATCCTACTATTTTTTCAAATTCATTTATTAGCTCTGGTAGATTTTTTATGGAGTCTTTAGGATTTAGTATGTACAATATCATATCATCTGTGAATGATGAGTTTCACTTCCTCCTTTCTAATTTGGATCTTTTTTATTTTTCTTCATGTCTGTTTGCTGTGGCCAAGACTTCCAGTATTATGTTAAATAAGAGGGGTGAAAGTGGGCATACCTGTCTTGTTCCTGTTCTTAAGGGAAATGCTTTTAGTTTTTGCCTATTGAGTATGACGTTGGCTTTAGGCTTTTCATATATAGCCTGTATTATGTTGAGATATGATCCCTCTATTCCCAAATTGCTGAGCATTTTTATCAGCAATGGGTGCTGGATTTTGTTGAATGCTTTTTCATTGCCTATTGATATGATCATATGGTTTTTATCTTTCATTTTGTTTATGTAGTATATCACATTTATTGATTTGCAATTATTGTACCAGCCATGAATCCCACTTGGTCATGGTAACTATTTTTTTATATTTATTGCTGGATCACATTTAGTAATATTTTGTTAAGGATTTTGGCATCTAGGTTCATCAGGGATGATATGTCTTCTGTCATTCTTTGTTTCCAGTTGGTTGGTTTTCAGTGTTTCTATATCATTGCTCATGCTGTTGCTTTCTCATGATTATTACTCGGAACTCTACCTCTGATGTCTTGCTTAATACTATGTAATTTATTTCTTCTCCTTCAGAATTATCATGTTCTTTCATTTGGGGTTTTTTCCTTTGTTTCACTATTTTTGCTGTCTCGGTGGGTTTTGGAGCCTGCCAAATTTTCCCTGTGGGTGTTGGTATTCTGCTGTTTGTGGCTCCCTCTACTGGGTTTGAATGAGTATTGGAGGATCCACATTAAACATCACTATCAAGTCTTACTTTCCTGGGTAGTTTTGCAAGCCCAGGAAAGGTTCAGTTATCCTCTAGCTTTTTGCCTGGAGGCTATTAGTCTCAGTTACTTGGTGAGTCTCAATTTGTTGCCCTCAACTGAATGAAAAATCCCTCAGATGTAAAAGGATTTCCAGCAGGTGGGGCACATGCTTTCTATCAGACATGATGTTAATGAAATTTGCATTTCTCTGGCCTGGCCTGGTGGTGTTAAATTCCTGTGGGAGAAGCCTTTGCTTCTCCCCAGGACTCTGGGAAGGGGCTCTTTGAGTAAAATTGCTACTGACCTGTGAGGGAGTGGTTCAGCCCAAAACTCCCACTGTTCTCCTGTCCAGCTCTCTCCTGATCCAGGATCGCTGGACTGTCTCCACACAGTTCCAGTCCAGGCTGCCCTTCCTCTGCCAGAGCCCAAGGTGAGTGGCTGTAGCTGATTTTGTTCTTTTTAAAACCACCACTTTCTCAATAGAAAGCACACTCAGCTAATACAGCTCTCCACTGCTGTCCATGGGCTCCCAGCCCGCCCTCATGTGCCTCTCCAGTTCCTACCAGACTTGAGTTGGCATCCTCTTTCTGTCCCTGTTTGTATAGGTTCTCTCCAACTGCTTTTCAGTTGTTTTTTTCTCCCATGATTTGTCTTTATTTTAATTGTAATTCCAGTTTGGTCCTGGGAGACGGTTTGTGTAGCTTCCATTCACTCCACTGCCATTTTCCACTCTCTCTTTTCATACCTTTGTAGCAACAAAACTGTGCTTAAGGGTGCTGTTGTAGAGAAAAAGTTCATCTTTATTTACATACATAATGTGCTAATTAGTTCACATTAAAGGACCTTCCCTTACCCTTAGTTTTCCTGGTAGTAGTTCCACTGGCTCACCAGCTGAAAGAAGGGTTTTGATGGAAGTACCATTCATTTTCTTACATAAGAAGGTATACATATGCGTGCATTATTGCTTAATCTGAATGTTAAAACCCACCAAGAAATAGTATTGATTTCATTCTGCATTTCCTGGTATTTGATAAAATGATTCTGAAGTGTTGTTCTCAATATGGTACATTTGAGAAAGTTGTCTGATTTTTTTCCAAATACCAAAAAACTAAAGATATATTATTACACATTTGTTTCATTGTGTAAACTAAGTTTATAGAAACATAGTGTGCATGTGTGTTTTAAAAATATCTTACCAGTTATTACTATTCTTTGCTTCATTCAGCCATAGGTGCTACCAAATCAAACTCACTTAGATGATCACAAGGACCTTTCCAGTTCCACATTCTTAGTGAAGTTAGGATACTATATACTGTCCACAGATAAGTTAGGGGATT